CAGGGATTTTAGAGTAAAGTTTTTGGTACGGAGAGGTGTAGTTAAGAGTAGACGAGATGGTTCGGTTGTGGAGATAAGTAGCGGTATGAAAGGCATGTTCCCAAAGGATGAAGGGAGATGATGATTGAGCTAGGAGAGTTAACCCTTTTTCTACAATAATTCGATTTCTACGGTCTGCAGCCCCATTTCGTTCCTGCGTATAAGGACAAGAGACTCTATGGTGGATACCATGAGTAGACAAGAAACTTGACACATTTCGAATTTCACCACCCCAATCAGTTTGAAGACATTTGATATAGGACCCAAATTGTGTTTGAACCATTGCCCAAAACTGTTGGAAAACATTGAACACTTGAGATTTGTGACTCAAAAAGTAGATCCATATAATATTGGTAGCACCATTGATAAAAAACATAAAATACCGATTTCCATTTAAGGATAACACAAGAGCAGGACCCCAAACATCAGAGTAGATTAATTCAAATGGTTTATCAGACCTAACATGAGAACTAGGAAGATGAAAACGATGACTCTTGCCTAACTGACAGGCATCACAGACACTTGGAAATTTATTGGAGCTGACAGGAAGTTGAAACTGAGACACTAGACGATGAAGGATGTGTTCATGAGGATGATCCAGACGACGATGCCAACCAAGTAGGGAGGTGCGGGAGCCGAAGTGGATGGAGGGTGGAGGTTGGTGTGGTCGTGGCTGATGGAGGTGGTAGAGGCCGTGATCAACGGTTCCGTGGAGGATCGTGTTGCCCTGCAAATTCTTGACAACACAATGATCAGGATAGAAAATCATATAGGTGTTGTTATCTCGATTTAGTTTTGAGACGCTGAGTAGGTTTTTGGTGAGATCATGCACAATAAGAATATTCTTTAAATTGACAGACATAGATTTTGTAGGCAAAATAGTAGAGCCAGAATGAGAAATAAGTAATTGATTACCATTACCAATAGGGAGTTTGTCGTCCCCGCGATACTCGTCTGAAATAGTCAGTCGGTTGAGGTCATTAGAGACATGATCTGTAGCGCCCGTGTCAAAGTACCAAGCGGGGTCCGTAATAGAGGACGGGGAAGCAAGTGTTCAGAGTGCTCAGCCTAACGGTCAGATGAGCGATGGTTGTTTCTTGGAGGTGGCGGACGCATAGGAAAATCAGTGTGGTTGTTGTAATTGTAGCAATTAATCGCCATGTGCCCCATCTTGTTACAGATTTGGCATTGAATGTGCCTGCGTGTGGTACCATCTGGGCGACGGCTGCCATCCGAAACACCAGAGGAAGGCAGAGCAGAGGATCGTCCACGGCTGTAGCGGGAGGAAGATCCGCCACACGAATTGGTGTAGGTTGCGTTGGCCAATGGAGCAATGACCGAGCTAGTAGTTGGAGGCGGTAGCGAATTAGATGGTGGCTGATGATGTCGATTCTCCTGCTCAATCCTTTCTTCTTCTTGTAGCAGTAGACCAAGTAAATCATCAACATTAGTCTCTTCAGGTCGCATCATGAAGGAGGTAATAAAGGAGCCATACAAACTATCAAGTCCGTTCAAGATATAGCTAATGAGATCTTCATTTGAGATACGTTGAAGATTCTCATCAAGTATATCAGCAATTGTATGTTTCTTTTCGAAGTACTCCATGATGGATAAGGAGCCCTTCGAGAGAGATTAAAGTTGGTTTTTGAGAGCCATTCAGCAGGCCCAAGACTGAGCCTGAAACGTTCGATCGATGGTAGTCCAGGCTTGACGGGCGGTGGTAGCGCGAACGACGGTGGCGAGTGCACGCTCAGAAAGAGTTGAGCGAAGCCAGAGGAGTACAAAGCAGTCACAACGACGCCAAGTGATGTACTCTGGATTCGACTCGGGAGGAGTCGTAACCCGTAATGTCAGCGGCTTGAGATTTGTACTGAGGAGGCGAGTCATCAGTCAGGATGTGAGTCTCCAACTCAAAGGCTTGAAGCGTCGGGAGAATAGTATTGCGCCATAAAGAGAAGTTCGTCCGATCGAGCTTGACATTGATTGATGGAATCTGGAAGTTCAGTGGGGATGAGGAGTTGGCAGCGACAAGGAGTTGGCCGGTGAGATCGGTGGTGGTGCTGGTGTTGTTGGCCATAAAGTCGGAGGCGATAGGGCTGTTGTGTGCGTGAGGCAGGATTGAAAAAAAGAATTGAACCTAAGGCTCTGATACCATATAATGAAGGAGATTAAATGAATTGTTAATTTTCTCATTCACAATAGGAGCGTATAAATAGAGCACAAGGGATTACATCGGATCCTAAATCATTGCTAATTACAATCCTCTAATTAATGATAATTATAAATAAGGAAGGTCAATGCTATCAGATCCTAAATCAATGCTATCATATCCTAAATCAATGCTATCAGTTTGACCCTATGATTACGCTAATAAGAATATTGGTATTAATATAGATGAAATCAATCTCAGGAAGGCAGATGAAAACTGCTTCGATGATCAGATCATCTACGTAAGTTCACAAGAAAGTGTTGGGCGTTCGAGGTTGACTACTATGCATTGCTCAAGAGAGTGATTTATGGATAGTGGATCTCAATAAAAGACTTAAATGTTAGAACATTGTTTGGGGTGTAATGTTGTTCGTGCAGTATGTCTTATTTGATAAATAACAAACTCTGATATGCGAAGGACATGTTTCTCAAGTACGGGATGCTCAACTGCAAGTCAATCTCAACACTGATGGAGACAAATCTGAGACTGTGGCACATGAATGAAAAGATTTGGAAGATCCAATTATGTATCGACAACTAGTTGAAAGCTTGATCTATCTAATGATGATAAGACCAAATATTTTATTTGTGGTTGGTGTGATGAGCCGATACATGCAGAAGCCAAAAAAGCCTTATTTAGAAGCAATCCGAAGGATCCTAAGGTACATCAAGGGTACACTTAACTATGGTCTCATGTATAAGAAAGGAGAAGAATGTGAGATCTATGGCTATTGTGATGTTGACTATGCTGGAGATCATGACACTCGAAGATCTACTACCGGATACATGTTTAGTCTCGGTTCAGCGGCTATATCTTGGTGTTGTGAAAGACAAACCATGGTGTCACTGTCAACTACAGATGCGGAGTACAGATCAGCAGCGATGGTAGCTTAGGAAAGCACGTGGCTTTTTCAGTTAATGAGAGATTTACATCAGTCCACAGACTACTCAGTAGCTTTATATTGTGATAATTAGTCTGCAATACGATTAGCAGATAATCCAGTTTTTTATGCTAGGACAAAGCACATCGAAGTACATCATCACTTTCTTCAAGAGAAAGTTCTTCAGGAGGAGATCGTAATGAAGCCAATTGGGACAAACAAACAAATAGCTGACATATTCACCAAAGCACTAAATACTTTAAAGTCTATAGAATTTCGAAGTCAGCTTGGACTCGTGGATAGAGAAGTCGCTGCTGAAGGGGAGTGTTAGAAAAAGCAGCAACTCCTTCAATTAGGCACCGCCCCATCTTTTATGTCGCTTTCGAGTTAGGCAAAAGTTGAAACGAAGAGTTCAGCCTAACTTCCATAATGTTCACCTACCACAATTTGCACTATAAATAAACGCCCAAGCGTTCAGTGAATTGCATCCCAAGCCACTGAGAAAGAATAAAAAGGAAGAGTGAAGAGCTTGTGATCCAGAGAGGGGAAAATAAAGAGTAGTGTGGTGAGATCCCAATAGCAGAGAGAGAAGGAGAAAGATAGAGAGAGAGAGAAAGAGAGTATTTGTATTTGATAGTATAATATGTTTGTACTACTACAGAAATAGTAACAATATATTTCTTAGTGTCCACCGTTCCTCTCAACTCAACATTAGATGTACTTAAAATCTGAAGTTCCTGTCATATAGTTAACATTTAATGTATCTTGTATGGATTAATACAACCGTCTTCTCACTTGCAAGTTGTTTCAATAAGAACCGTATTCATGGCCAACCTTCTACCTAATTCTTATTAGCAGTTTAGATGAATGTAACCCTAATATATAATTAACATTTATTTTGTAAACTCTTAAAAAGTGACCTTGTTACCCCCTTTCATATAGTATTATTAGCCAAATGCAATAACTTCAACTCTCTGCAAGGAAAACTTAGTTAACAGAGAACCACATTGAGGCACTAAAACTTTTTTAACAGCACATAGAAAGTTTACAAAGCCAATGAAAGCCAAAACAAGAAACAACTCACTTAAAACCCAAAATCCCAACTTTCACCCTCCAAGCAAACTTAAGGGAAAGAAAGTTTCCAAAAGACAACGAGAAAGCTTCAATGTCATCAATCTCTTCTTCGTTAATGGTATCTAAGATCTTCAGAGCCCTGCTCTTCACAATTCCCCCCAGCATTTTTTGTGGAGCAACTTCAGTCGCATACAACTGAGCCATTTTACAATATACTATACAAGAGGAACGAGAAGAAGAAGAAGAAAGATGAGAGAGATTTTTTTCCCCCCTACCTATTTGATGATGATGAGGAATGCAACATTGTGAAGAGAATTTATAGGCAGCATGGGAGAAGTTTTATCAGATTCGTGAGTGAAGTGTTGACACACGTTTCATTTTCGAGAGGAGATGCTCTCTAACTAATGTTGTACTGCTGTTGGCCAAGTGTTCGATGGTGAAGGCAAACTGAGAAGAAGACAAGTCAGATTTGAGGTTAGAGTAGCCACCCATGAGCTACGAATAGCGACTCTTTCAAATTTTCATGACTGATATTTATACATATTTATCTTACGGACTGAGACAAATAATTTGCTTGATTTTTTGAGTGCTCTCCAATTGGAAAGAGCCATTCAACATCTATAAGCAGACTACTGCACAACAATGACTTGTGCCTCTCAGGTAAAATGCTTGTAGCTCTCGCTGTAACAGGGAGGCGGACACCTGTCGAAAGAAAGTTGCCCCTGATGTCATAAGGCAACTATTAATACGAAAATTGTAAAAGCCGAAACTTGGTGATTCCTTTGCCCAAGAAAGCAATAACCAACACTGCCCAGCACAATATATCATAGACAAAAGGAATCCAGAGCTAAAAATAAGTCTCATCGTCTCCAAATCATCAAACGTACAGCTAGTGCAGCAAGCTTTGTTTCCGAAAAAGCAAAGATACTCATCGTCAATAAAGCCAGCATTTTACACAATACCAATAGCATTAAGCCTAGCATTGTATAGGCCAATGTCTACAATTTTATCCAAGTACACAGCAAGGCATCCAGTACGCAAAGCAGTATCAGTATCGGTACTTGGTGGAGTAATCTTTGGGAGCAATAACAAGACCACGTCCTTTCCTTGCACCTCTAAACACGGTCTCAACTATGTCGATGAACTCCTGCTTGTCCTTCATGGCCCAGTTGATCTTGTTGTTGTTCCCAGTTCCAAGATCGATCATGATATGTTTGTTGCGGAAAAAGAACATGACTGTCGATGGATCGTAAAGCTCGTACATGGTGTTGAAGTCTGGTACCTCTGTGATATCAACCAAGTATATCACTGCAAAGTTCTTTATAGTCTCGGCAACCGAAGACAGCACTTCATCCATCTGTAAGATTAACAAAGGAAATCAGTCAGACTGAATCTAACACATATTTTTCCCCCATAAACATCTACTTTGACGTAAAATTTTATTCATGTAAGAAGAACAATGATTACATCTCTTGTATAGTTGTATCTCAGACCGTATTTGGCAATACTAGGTTATAATCCACTGATAGATTATAACCCAAGTGGTCTAAAATTTTAGGTGTTTGGTAAAGATGATGGCTTATAATCCATATGCTTCTCGATATAATTACCAAAAAAATCCTTAAAAGTTGGAGGAGAGTGAAGGGGGAAATAGGAATGTGAAAATTAATGCGCATTTTTGCCTTTTTCTAAGTCGAACATGTGGATTATAATCCACCAAAAAAGTAACCTAGGCATCCTAGGTTGTCTTTTTGGGTTGATTATAATCCAAAATAATCCACTCAAAATGTGGTGACCAAAAATGCAAAAGTGGATTAAAATCCAAAAAAGTGGATTATAATTCACTTTGAACAAGTTGCCAAACAAGCCCTTACTGGCTTGGTATTGTGATTTGGATAGTGTCTTCTTGTAGCTGGAAGTAAGATGTTAAAAGTCAGATCATGAACTAAAATGTCGCTATAACCATAGTTGCGTAATTCCCTGTACCGCCTGCCCCGCCCCGCCTGAACCGTCGTACAGTTCATACGAACCAATTTCCGGACATTTGCAAACTGATTCTCTTTGATACACAAATTGGTTTCCCAAAATAAGCATATTGTTTGCAAGTATGCGGAGTGCAAAGTCCCTTTTAAGTGTACACGCACAAAATGCAATGCAATGTGCACAATCGAGTAAAGAAAGCACACAATGGAATATATGAGTCAATGACTTTACTAAACTAAATACCTATGTCAACAAAATGTGAAATGAAACATTTCCCAACATGAACCGTGTGAAAAGAAAAACAAGTAAAAATAACAATATCCATAAAAGAGAAGCACTTAAGTATTTTGTATGAAAAACTAAAATGCATAATTACATTTCTAACTTCTAGTTTTCTTCTGTACACTTCAGAAAAAGATAAACGCATCCAAAAAAAAATTATGTCTCACTGACCGAACTTACGTACCGAAGCAAGCTACCCCCATCGAATCCAAATTTTCTAGATGGCGAACTGCGTACCCGAATTTGTACCACGACCCGCTACGTATCATGTAGAGAGTAACTATGGCCATAACCCTTTACCGAGTCAGGGATAAATATAAAATAGGCAAATATAAATATTTGGAGAGTGCAACATTTGCACATAGTAGTCGTTTGAGGTGTGTAATTCAGTGAAAAGGCAAGGTGCTTCATCAGACACTAGCTAAGGGAGGGGATATATCCAGTTCTTTTATTGTGAAAGTCATAGTTGATATATTCTATAATATAAGTGTCCAAATTCTCTATTGCAAATGTATCTAGTGAGGCATGCTGGAAAATGACTCAGATGTGCAAGTTAATGGAGAATGGAATAAAAGAGTAGAAATTTTTGCAAATTCTAAGAGATGAGAGTAGAAAATAGGGAATTACACCATCAAATATACAAGAGGAAATCACACCCTAACAGAACAGAATCACATAGTAATAAACGAACGAAATTGACCACGCGCATTGTTTGGCATTAGTGTGGAAATATCAAAAGTATAAACAGTTTAAGAAAATTGGTTAAAATTGCTTTGTATATCTAACACTCACCACTTAGAACACACTGCAATTCTCGTATTATATTATCATTGACATATTATTAACAAGGAATTGCATTTTTGTGACTTTTGCAATATATGTGAAAATCTCGCTGGAATTTGTTTTCCTTATATGTTTTTAATCTAATGATGTTCATCGTACTTTGTGGAATTTTGTATGATCAAATCTTATTTTATATTTACATGAAAGGGACTTATTGGTTTTCACTTTTTTTGTTAAATCGTGAATATACTTATATTATTGGCCAAATCATGCAATACTATGTATTTTTCATATTTATTATTTTGAAAATAATAAAACTGGGAGAAATAATTGAAATAGAATCGAGAGAATGACAGAACTGAAATAGGGTGAGTGAATTTTGAGAGAAATTTGAAAGTTTTTGTGTTTGAATGACAAGCTTGGTTTTAGGGGGAGCTTAGTGACAAAACCTTCTCATACATACACTCATGTTTCATGTATGCTTAACGGCTTTGTTTTACACTCTTTAATATTATTTGTGGTTTTATGAAATTTATGAAATTGAGGTGGTTTTATTCGAATTTCACACTTCATGAACTTTGATTTTAATTTCACAGTTTGTTACTANTGTTGGATGTTGATCACAAAATCAACTCGATTTGCTTAATAACAAACATTCGTATGTATTGGTGATGTTTCAAGATGAAATGTGCAGGTTATACAAAGTGATGTAAGACAACAAGTTAATCACAGTAATTCCTAAAAACATATCAAAAAGTAAAATCAAGTTGAGCATATGGGAGTGTCCGCCTCTCTATTACAAATATGCAAAAACAAACAAAACTCAATTTAGAGGTGTATAACTCAAGATACGAGTGTTTTAGCGAGACAAGTCAAAATAGTCAGTAGCAAAATAAACGTCTGGCATCCCAATGCAGACGCCTGAAAACATGCACACAAAGGTTGAAACTTGCAAGAGCTATAACTTTTTAACTTGGTTGTCGGAATCACTATTATAATATGTTTTCGAAAAGCTCTTGACGTGCTCTATAAGATGAAACTGACATTCAGAAGTTGATTTGAACATCAGACATCTAAAATCAATCAAACAGAAAATAGATTCTCGAAAAAAGTAATAGAGACATCTAGCCCATACTATAAGATGTTTAGACCAAGAGCAGACGTCGGGCCCACAACACAGAACGTCTAGTCGACACGTTTTGACTGAATCATTTGATTTTCTGAGTTCTAATCTATGTTGTCCATTTGTAAATCTGAATAAGGACTCCAAGGGCTATTTTCCTGATCATATTAGAAGTTCAATTGCAGGGATTATATATTGAGAATGAAAGAGAAAAAGGAATAACGGTTTGGAGACTAGAGAAGCTAGGGTTTTTCCTTGGAGGATTATTGGATCTTCTCTTCTTTGATCTCTTGGTGATTTGAAGATGACATCTTGCTACAACTTAAGAGAGGATTTTGGCAGCGACATTGACATCATCTATTGAAGATCAACTCAATTGTTTAGGAACATATTCTCATCTTTAACTCTTTTCAATTTGATTTGTAAATCCGTGGATCAAGGGTGAATTGATCTGGTTGGAATTCTCATTTTTGAGGATAGATTGAGTGTCTAAGGCATCTGAGAGTTGTATTGGCTTTACACCTTGTTAAGATCTGATATGATTGAGTATAAGAGCTTTGACGAACTTAGGAGTTTGGTACTTTCTCATGTAGCGGTTCGATTTCACTGGAGTGAAGTCTATGGATATAGGCATCGTGCTAAACCATGTAAAATTATGTGATTGCATTTGATTGCTTGCTTAGCTATTAACTCCGCTTATTTAGTTGCAAAACTTTTTAAAAATAACCTTGTTTTTTACGCAACTTTATCCCCCTACCTAAAATAGTCTAACTAGATTCCAACAATCAGAGAAATATGAATCATAAATGAGGTAGACATTGAAGGGGTGTATGAGAAATAGGGTAGAATATGAAAGGTTTTCATCATGAACAAACAAGCTGACCTATATATGTATCCCTCTTCTATTGAAAGTTATAACATGCAAATTTTTAGTTGAATGTGAACCAAAAAATTATCTTTTGGAAAGTGAATTCTCATTTGTTGTTCTTTCTTCTTAGGTGGATTCCTTTGAGAGAGGAACTTATTTTTGCATTGCTTGTGTTTTTTTTGTCGTCTCCAAGTTCTGGAGTAACTTATCCTAGCTCCATAAGAAATACCAAATCCAACCAACATTAAAAAAATGCAACAAAAAAGAAGAAGAAGAAACACAAAAGAAACAAATTAGAAAGCAATCTTTTGTTCAGCGTTGAAACCTCCACCCCCAAATCCTCATTCACCCTTTGTAGGGCTGAAACATGAGAGAGATGGAGAATGAAAAGATACCAACCCACAAAAAACAAAAACTTCATTGTTGCCAATGCCTTAAATAGACCTATAAATTTTAAACCAAACAAAAGGCATGAGAGAGGAACTTATTTTTGCACTGCTTGTGTTTTTTTACTCGTCTCCAAGATCTAGCTATTAACTCCGCTTATTTAGTTGCAAAACTTTTTAAAAATAACATTTTTTTTGACGCAACTTTATCCCACTTCCTACAATAGTCTAACTAGATCCCAACACTCAGAGAAATATGAATCATAAATGAAGTAGACATTGAAGGGGTGTATGGGAAATAGGGTAGAATACGAAAGGTTTTCATCATGAACAAACAAGCTGACCTATATATGTATCCCTCTTCTATTGAAAGTTATAACATACAAATTTTTAGTTGAATGTGAACCAAAAAATTATCTTTCGGAAGGTGAATTCTCATTTGTTGTTCTTTCTTCTTAGGTGGATTTCTTTGAGAGAGGAACTTATTTTTGCACTGCTTGTGTTTTTTTACTCGTCTCCAAGTTCTGGAGTAACTTATCATAGCTCCATAAGAAATACCAAATCCAACCAACATTAAAAAAATGCAACAAAAAAGAAGAAAATACACAAAAGAAACAAATTAGAAAGCAATCTTTTGTTCAATGTTGAAACCTCCACTCCCAAATCCTCATTCACCCTTTGTATGGCTGAAACATGAGAGAGATGAAGAATGAAAAGATATCAACCCACGAAAAACAAAAATTCATTGCTGTCAATGCCTTAAATAGACCTACAAAATTTAAACCAAACAAAAGGCCTGAGAGCGGAAAAATCCACTTAAGAGTACCTAGATGAAAAAGGTGTATCTAATGCTAACTATTACAAAGTGGAGTTCAAGTTTTATTTGAATTTCATTACTTCAGATTAGATATGTGATATTAGATGGTTGATTAATGCTTTAAGTTTCCATCGCTACTAACTATATTTTATTCTGAACTCCTAAATTAAATTTTACAAACAAAAACTACAGGTGCAACATTTCTTCAAGGTAACTAGGTGGGGCCTAAGTTGCATGGAAACGGACACGGGTACTGGTACCCTATGAAGCATGGACACGCATAACATGAAGCCGTGTCGTGTCCGTGTGGGACACACGTGTCGAACACACGTATCCTATGTATTTTTTAGGATTTGCCTCGTGTCGACGTGTCGGATGGCCGTGTCGGATCCGTGTCCGTGCTACATAGCTGGTACCACGACAAAATTGTAAAATATAAGGTACGGGGACACGGCTATATATATATATATATATATATTGAATTAATAATGTACATGAGATATAATTTTCCCGCTTCATGTGTCATTAGAATTAAAATTCCGATTACATTTTTGAGTTTCTTTTATCATATTGATTATTGTGAATTGTAAATTACTAGACATCTAAACGATCCATTAACTATATAGTTTTGAACTTAGGTATGGACTGAAACGAACCCAACCCGTATCTCATTAGTTTCAAAAAACGGATGTGAAGTATAAGCTCTACATCTAGGAAGTCTTTGACAAGTGTTTTAAATTAACACATATATCGTATAATTGAGTACATGTTGTAATAAATGCATGCATATATTCAAGAAGTGTCCATGAAGTTTGGGTACGGGAAAGTGTCGGGTACGTGTCCGGTACGGGTACGACTTCATTATAGAAGTACCCGGGTAACATAGGGTGGGGCAGTAAAATGCCCAATTGCTCCAAGGAAGACAAAATACTTTTTTTTTTGAATCGATCCTTGTGATTTACAATTCCTTTGGGGAAAGATCTCTAAAGCTCTTTACATATCCATTCATTCCTTATCTTCTCCATAGACATCCACTATTCAGGGGAACATTTTCCTCTAAAAATATCTACTCCTTTTGCACAATTTTTACATACTTAATATTAAGATAAATGACTTGAGCTTAAAGAGAAAGGTACAAGACTTGAAATGTGATTCCAATCTCAATTCAGGAAAAAAATCCTTGACTATATGTACTTGTCTAGCAGAAATATCCTCAAAACTCATGCAATATCCATCAAATCTATAATTAGATACTTCAACAGAAAACAGTGGCTTAGTTAGAACAGCTAGTTTTCTTCATTCCCTCATGTAGCTTAGGAGACTCTCTTAAGGACATAGATCAATAGGATCATGGAACATGACCCAAACTGAGAGAACAAGCTCAGTTCTGAATATGTTAAATATGTACCCTTTGTTACATTCCATCCTTCACGCCTAAGTCAAACATAGTTCCATGATGTTTTGCCCCTTTGATCATAGTCATCAGCATCCTTCTAAGTTTAGACTTACAGCAGACTTTGGCTTCCATATAAGACATCAGCCAACATATCCGACATGTCATTTATAGGGCTTTTGGTTTTACATGTCATTTATCGTTTTTGGTAAATTATCCTTGATATATTGGGATTTGCTTGAATTATTGGATTTTTCCAGTTCTACATATATTTTGGTGTAAAATAATTGGTAAAAAAAAGGATGTCATAACAGATTTTGGACTAACAACTGTTTTGAACGTTTGGTTTGGACCGGATTTAGGACTTGACCGAACCCGCTATATATAAATCTCAAGTTAGGAGAAGTGGAATTCATACAAATGATAAAAATCCAAGTTTTCAAACTATAATGCAACTGCATAATGATAATAACAGGATGCTAAACGCCATGTAGATTTAGAACCCTAGCTACCCATTTGTAGTTTCCCCGGAGAAAACTATTGTTTAAGGCCCAAAACATCGCTCTTAATCACCATTCCAGTGTTCTCACAAAATTCAAACGGACATTTTTGAAACCAGAGAAAACTTCTAGTTTCTACCTATGTAGCACGGACACGGATCCGACACGGCCATCCGACACGCCGACACGAGGCAAATCCTAAAAAGATCCGACACGGCCATCCGACACGCCGACACGAGGCAAATCCTAAAAAATACATAGGATACGTGTGTTTGACACGGCAAATCCTAAAAAATACATAGGATACGTGTGTTTGACACGTGTGTCCGACACGGACACGACACGACACAGCTTCATGTTATGCGTGTCCGTGCTTCATAGGTTTCTACCTTACCTCTTGCGATGGGAAGAAACTCCAAAGAGAAACTTGAACAACTACTATTAATTCGCAGGCTCTCGCTATATGTCCATCAGCAAAACTGAGACGAAGACCAATTGAACATGATGCAAATCGAACCCCTTTTAATTATAGGAGTTAATCTAAATTATCAGCTAACACCCTTCCATCCCTTAAATATCTCATTCTTCCAAGTCCAAGCCAAATAAAGAAGCACAGCATAAAGCTTCATTAGATCTTCACGACATAAGTCATAATTGCTTTCACTAGTGAAACCTAGAATTATGTGCATTAAAACTAAGAAAAGAAACCCACAATCCACAATCCAGAGACTAACTGCAAGCCTGAAATCCGATCCATAAACCCTAATTAATCAACACATGAGAGTCATTCCAACAGTAATAATCTCTACAAACGCCCCCAAATCTGACGTACAACACCTATGTGACATGAAGCCTGAGAAAAAAAATCCTCAAAAAAATCAAATTGCGTTCACTGATAGTGAAAATCCTAGAATAGAATGGCAATAAAATAACAACAGGAACATACTATAACCCAAATGTAAGCTGAAATCCCATTCAGAAAACTCTAATAACTAATCGATCTACAAAATTCATCAAATAACGAAATCCCTAATGAACTTATGTACCAAAAAGAAAAGGGGGAACAGATGAAGAAAAAAAACCCCATAAATTAGGGTTCAGATGGATTTTTGGGGTAAGAAAAGTTAGGGTTTTGAAAGAGAACGGATATGGGCTACCTGCATGCAAGTCTCGTCCCAGTCGTGGCCAAAGCGGATGACGACGAGGCGCTCCTCCTCGGCCAGGATCGCCTGATCCACCGCCCATCCTGAGTGTAGATGCGGCAACAAATACGACATCTCTCTCTCTCTCTTTTCTATCTCCTCCCTCTCCTTGATGCCTTTTTAAAGGGACCGGGCCAGCCCAATGACTAGCTACTCATTTTGCTTTGACGTGATGAGTTCCTCTAGGGCTTGTTTGGATTGAGGGGAACAAGGGAGAAGGGAACCATTCATTTTGTTTGGGAATACTTGAGGTGAAGTTATTCATTTAGTTTTTCTTAGTTCACCTCTTAATAGTATAAAATTTAGAATAAATTTTTTAAACAGACCCATTTCAATTTTTAATTTTTAAAACCGACTCTTTTTTTTTATTTACCAAAACCGACCCGATTTTATGATTAGCAGATTAATCACCTTCCTAAATAGTCGGGGTTGGCAACCCCGACTATTTAGGACGGTGTTAAACCCTAATTAGAAGCATTAAACCCTAAAAATTAATGTCCTAAATAGTCGGGGTTGCCAACCCCGACTATTTAGGAAGGTGATTAGTCTGCTAATCACAAAATCGGGTCGGTTTTGGTAAATAAAAAAAAGAGTCGGTTTTGAAAATAAAAAGTTGGAATGGGTCTGTTTAAAAAATTTGTTCATAAAATTTATTACCCCAAATTGGGGTGTAATTGGGGTGTAATCAAGGGGAAGGGAACTCCCTTCACTTTCCTTCTCTTCTCTCACCTAGCTTCCCTTAACTTCCATTGACCCCATTAAAATCCAAACAAGCCCCTAAGCATTGATGAAATTGCTATTAGGTACCTCAAATCTTGCAAATAATTCCAAATTAAGGCCGATTAGGTACTATTTTGAGCTGATAATCCTTTATCTATTAAAAAAGAAATGGTTAATTTCACAAAAACCCCCTCAGCCTTTGAGGGGTGTTTCACATAACCCTCTAAGCTCGTTTTTCTCATATAACCGTCCTGAACATTGAGGTGTCTCACAAAACCCCCCATGAACTTCAGCTTATTTTATTTAACTTTTGCTTGTAACTTGCAAACAACTAAAATTTCTTTGAGTGAAAATTTTAGAAAACTTGTGTCAAGACCCCAATTTTGAGAACCTAATGTGACCTAGCCACTCCTACTTTTGCTCATGTGTTTAAGCTCTCAATTATTAAAAAAATATAGTCCAGCCCATTCAGCTCATCTATATTCTAATGTTATATGTATTTGACCCAAAACCCCAACTGTACCCCTTCCCCAAAAATTATGTTTTACACATGTTTCCTGTTTTATCCCTCTCCACTCACTCAAAAACACCATAATCTCTCCTCCATCAAACCTTCTTCTTCCTTCTCTTCCTCCTCTCTCCTCATCTCAAAATCCAAGCGCCAAAACCTTAACCCCAGCAATCCCACCTCCTTCTCCTCCTGCTACAATCACTCCTCCCACGCCATCACCCTTAACCTCATGATCTTCATTCCCTCGTCCTCTTCTTATGCTCCTTCCTTATTCTCTCTTCTCTCTCCCACCTCCTCGGAGTCCTCGCCCAAACCCTAATTCTAACTCTAGCCACCAACCATATCTCCTTCCTCCTCCTCCGCCTTCCTTAGAATCTTCTAATTCTGCTCCTGCAAGTGCAGAGACCCTAGGTGCAAGGGCTTGAAGAATGTACTAGAGTTTGATGTCCAGATTCAAAATGATGGTAACGTGAGGGAGAAGGGGGAGGAGTAGAAGGAGATCGAGAATCTGCCGTGGAAAGGTGGGTAGCAGGAGAGGAACCCTGATTATGAGGTTCTGCGTACCGAGCTATGGAAGATGGCATTAGTTAATGGCTGGGCTGTGTTATGCTGCTATTTTCGGATGAGGTGTAGGTGCCCGCTGGCAAAGTTAGAGGCTTAGGGGCTAAAGAAGTGGCCGAGACGGAATCGGAGGCTAGGGTTAGTGTCCTTGCATTTCAAGTCCAGATGGTAGTTGGATGCAAGAAATGTATTTGATGAAATGTTGCACAAAAATTTTGTTGCTTAGAGCTCTGTTATACTGTTAAAGCTTGAATTCATTACAAGAAGCAGTTCAAATTACCATAATTTTTGTAGTTTGATTTTGTTGGTCGTTCATAGGATAAGAGAGATATCGTTGAGAGAATTAGTCTTTGTTTAAAATTTTATTGTACATAGACCATTTTATTGGCTTGGAAATTATATGTAGCCCGTACATAATACATTGGTAATTGAGAAATAAAAGCCTACATACAAAAATGTTCATTTGAAATAATGGATGTATAAATAATTTGTAGATTAATTGTTAAGTTATACCTAACACAAGTGAACTATAGTTGATTAATTATTTATGTTTACATATTCCATGTTAAGTATAGCTGAGTAAGTGTTAACTTTTTATTTTAAATGTTAAGTTTAGTTGATTAAATATTAATTTCTACCTAACATATGTGAACTATACCTGATAACTGTTAATGTTTACCTATTCCATGTTAAGTATAGTTGAGTACTGTTAAATTTTCTTTTAAATGTTAAGTTTAGTAGATTAACTATTATATTTTACCTCATACATGTAAACTATAGTTGATTAACTATTAACGTTTACTTGTTCCATGTTAAGTATAATTGAGTAATTGTAAACTTTTGAATTATGAGACCCGTAGTGTACCAAAACATGAGATTGGGATATTGCTACCAATTACTATTAAAAGGAAAGGGAGAAATAGAATAAGACTATATAATGTAAAATATCAAGTAGTTGTTAATATGTGTGTGTTAAACTCATGAAGTACCTCTTAAGGGTTGCTTAACTCTTACATTGTTAAATTTTAACTTCGTTTGTTTAATTTTTTGAGTTATAATAAACTTAACAAATAATTAATATCATTAACATGAATTAGGTAAAGTTATATCATTCTTGTTAATGTTTTGAAGTACCTATTAAGGTTCTAACATATTTATTAAAGTCATCTCTATTAACTAATCAAGCACTTATTAAATTTCATCTACCCCTTAAAAGAGGGAGTTCCAAAAAAACTTTTCATAGCCCAAAATACCCTTCAACTATTACAAATATAACAAATTTATCCATTTTTATCATTAAACAGAGTTGAGAAATTGGGAGCCCTAGCATCTGTTCCTCCATCGGTAATTCATTCCTCCGTCGGTTACGACTTCGTAGCAGCCACCATCGGTTACGCTTCAGCTCCGGCAACGCACTCCCACAATGATGAGTATTATTGCCCTTATCATCACCGTACCTCCGCTGCCATCATCTCCTCACTTCTCAGATTTTGGGCATCGCTTACGGTCACGAAAGAGACTCTTTGACGAAGGTATGATTTGATCTTTTTTTAAATTTTACTTTTGATTTTTAAATGTGTTTTCGTCACTGCCTAAGGATCAAACTCCGGCGACAACTCATGCCATTTCTCTCTTAAATTTTTTATTTCTGTCGTTAGATTCTCTGTGCGTATGTGAATTTTCTTGATTAATAGATTTCAACTAACATTAGCTATTATATTTTCCTACAATGTCGTTTAGGCATGTCCATCCGGCCCGGCCCGGCCCGGAAATCCGGGCCCGGGCCGGGCAAAACCGGGACCCGGACCCGGGTACCCCGGGCCGGGTCCGGACCCGGGCCCGGGCCCGACCAGGCCGAGTTCCGGGCTGGCCCGGGTGATTTTCTTTTTTATTTTATTTTATTTTATTTTTTTCCAAATTTTTTTAATGTTATTTAAATTATAAATTATAAAAAAAGACAAGAAAAATAATAATTTTATTAATTACTTAAAATGACATAAATTACAAATGAAAAATGATAAAAACAAATTCTTTATTAATAATTAATAAATCATTTACAAATTACAAGTACAAATTTATTTTGGAATTAATCGCATCACAATAGATAAGTAAATCCCAACTAGGTTGGCACCTACTCACCTATATCACTATCATTTGTAATTATTTCCAAAATAATTCTTTACAAATTTTAAGCTAAGATATAAAAACTACAATCTATTCTTTATATCTATCTGCTAGTCCCAATTCTTCAAATTTATCTTTAATTCCAGCCATCCGATCGATGCCTTGCGTTCACTTCTCGTACCTCCACCAATCTTGTAGGCACATCACCGTTTGTACAGTATACGGATCCAAGCATGTCCTGTGATCATCGATCAAACGACCTGCTGTGTTGAAGGCGGATTCCGAAGCTACCGTCGAAACCTGCACTGTTAGTAAGTCACGAACCATGGTGGAAAGTATAGGATATGAAACTGATCCATATACTTTCCACCATTGCAAAATATCTAAAACATTTCCTTGACATCTAACTAAAGAAGCAGAAAAATATTCATCTATTTCAGAAAACCTCCGATGATGACGATCCAAGTCCAGATCCACCAGTTAGCTCTGCTATCATTGCATACCTATCAAAACTTGCACTTTTACATCGGGCTCGGGATGAGCTCGAAGAAACCGAAGCTGCAGACTGTTGTGCAGCTATACCATGTCTAGCTGCATACTCATCATATAAGGTTTGAAAATAATTTCTAATAAGTAAATGATGAGTAGTAGCATTTTGTTTTTGCAATAACTTTTTAATACATCTTTGCATATTATCATCAATTACTAAGGCACATTTCTTTATTCTGTACAAATATTTGTATTATATTAGTTTTGCAGTAACTTTTTTTATACACCTTTACATATTATCATCAATTATTAATGGACATTTCTTTATTCTATACAAATATTTACTACATCATGCACGCAATGAGTGCATCGGAATTGTGAACCCTAGGAAAATGAGATGGGATAGAGATAATATTACGATGTTTTCTTAAGAAAAGAGAAAGACTTAGACAGTGGATAGAGGAATTGATATCAAAATTTGAAAGATAAGAGCTGAATAATTATTATTGATTAATTTGAAAATTGCATAGAAAAGAAGAGTAATCACTTGCTCTGGAGATAAAAGAAAGAAAGCAAAAAAAATATTAAAATTTAAAAGTTCAGCATGTCAAAAGTATTAATTAAAATGGTGACACTCTGGAGTATTAACGAGCAAAATTGGCATGCGCGTTGCCATAGGATCTGTGTGAAAACAATCAAAAGTATAGTTTAAGTATTTGGCCTAAAAATATATTGTACTATATCTAATACTTTGAATAAAATAGTAAGTTAAAGAAAGATATATGATCTTACAA